TTTTTTTTCGGAACTGGGGATTAAACTCAGGCCCTTGCGATTGCCAGGGAAGCACTTATTCCACTGAGCCATCTCCTCGGCCCCTTTGAACATTTTTTTGCACACACTTTTTTTGAGAAAACTATCCAAATTTTTCTGCCTCTGTTATCCAACTCAAAGGGGATTTTATCATAGGGATTGAAACCAGTAAAGGAGAAATAGTGATACAAAAAAAGTCTTAATAATAATAACCCAAGGCTTTGGTATCCAAATTGCTTTACTACCTATATTTCAAATAACTAATCAGAAAAATAAAACTGGATTTTAGTGATCAAACTACTATGTGGTTGAGTACAGTCCAGAATCCAGGCTTTAAAACATCAAGTCCACATATTTTTCACTATTTTATGGCACTTTTGAATCACGCTGGTGGGCTTCCTCTGGTCATAGTTATGCATTTCATGCTCCTAGCACCAAGTGAAGTCAGTATTTCTGATTCCCATCTACACACACACACACACACACACACACACAGCACTAGCCTTTCTAGGTAAATAAGACCATGAAACTGGAGGGGAAAAAAATCCTTCATATATAGGATCTCCCTGTACACTTTCCTGTAAATCTGCAATTATTTTAAAATAAAGAAAATCAAAACTATCTTGCTCTTATTACGAAGATACCAATGTTCAGAAAGCGAGATAAGAAAAATCAGAATTTCAAGAAAAGACTAGCCAACAACAACTGTCTAAGAGAAAAAGGGCATTCCCAACTCTTTCCTTGATCCTTCTATCTTATTTTATTCTACAATTTCAAAAATTCAGATTATAGAAAAAGTAATTTGAATTTACTCTTACTCCATCCTGGTTAAAACAATGTAAGACAGGTGGAGCATTCCTAATTCAAAATATGAAATTCAATGGATGGATGGATTATGGATGCCCATGTTATTAAGTCTATGCAAGTAATCCAAATTTAAAAAGAAAACCCTCAAACAGGAAATCCTTCTGGTTCCAACATTTCAGACAAAGATTACTGAATTTCCATGTATAAGCAGAAATTATAAGTTATCTTGATCAAACTGAAAAGATAGCTCTATTTAGAAAGATCTTGGCTCTCCAATGAGAGTATTCCTTCAAAACCAGAAAAGTATAATTTTACAGGGTAAAACACAATACATTCATAAAATAATCAAATATGTAATTCCAAACAAGACAAACTGGACTTTTTCTCCCTAGAAAAGCGTAAAGTGCCAACACTGCCTAATCAATGAAACGGATAGTCTTCAGTCTCCCACAATACGATATCTGGCATATATTTTTGCAGGAGAAAATGGCAGTAACTCTTAATTCTCAGAAGTATTCATCCCCTCAGCTAAGCTCATCAACCACTCTGCCCTTTCAACAATTTAGCAGAGAAATGCTATACTGCAGGTACAGAATCCTCCCAATGTCAGCAGTAAAGAACTGTTGCTTCACTACTTAAGACTTACCCCTTGAACTCTACTTGGAAGAAAATGGTCAATCCTAATAGTAATAAGAAAGGAATATCATGTCAGTCATGATGGCGCTCACTTCTAATCTCAACACTTGGGAGGCTGAGGCAGGAGGATTACAATTTCGAGGCCAGCCTGAGCTATACAGAGACCCCCGTCTCATGAAATGAGATAACCTTTTGTTTTTGCCTATCAGAATGGCAGTGTCTGGTGCTGGCCTGGGCACCAGAACCTAGGTGGCTAAGAGGCACACACCAAGCTAATGGAAGGCAAATTAGTAACGTGACACAAAACCCTTAAAAATATACAACCTTATCCAGAAAGACTATCTAGGATTTGTATCCCAAAAGAATAATTTTAGATGTAAAAATAGCTTCTTAGAAATGTGCTAATTTTCTAGTGCTATGCAACAAATTACCACATACTAGTGCCTCGGACTCTCTCACACTTCTGTGGGTGAGAAGTCCAGGGGGGTTCAACTAGCTCCTGGTGGGGGGGCTTCAAAATGGGGAAATCCTGCTGTCAGGGCAGTGCTGTTACCTGCACACCGTGGGAAAGAATCTGCTCCTACGTTTATTCAGGCTGCTGGGAGAACTCAGTTCCTTGCTGCTGTTGCAATGAGGTCCTTGGCATTTTTGTCGTGTGTTGGCAGAGATCACTCTCAGTTCCCACCGGGTCCCCATCTGTGGCCCTCTTCAGCTTACAACAGAGAATAATTCTCCTGGGGAACCTCTTACGTGCTCTGAATCTGACTTCCTGCCTTACCACTGGCAGGAGAAAACCCTCCGCACTGAATGAGCTTCCCGTCTGAGGCTAGGGGCCCTTCAGAGCATCCCCCTTCTGATGAACTCGGAGCCAACTAATTAGCAACCTTGATTTCATCTGCAAACTTTCCTGGTATGAAGCATACCATAAAGCAGAGAGCATCATCTTATCATGATCACAGGGGAGGGCACAGAAGAGGAGGGCCACTGAAGGTCACATTGGACTTCCGCACATCACACAAGAACAGCCCTTATACTGTTAGATAATTATAGCGACAAAATAGAAAACAACCTGAATGTGCACCAAAAAATTAGTTAAGTCAAGGAATACCTATCTACACGTTGAGATACCGTGAAGCCACTGAAACACAACATTGACTGGTAGGAGGAAATCAGGATAAATTAAGTGAAAATGCATAATACAAACTACATGCTAGCAAACGCTGAATATTACATGAGGGTAGAGGCTTACAATTATTCCTATATTGCTCAGGCCCAGCAAACTATAGATTCTCAATAACAAATTAGGTAAATGAAGACAAAGACAAATTGTGTGTTATGTGTGTGTGTGTGTGTGTGTGTGTGTGTGCGCGCATGTTAATGAAAACCGACGTGGCTTACAGCTGCATGGCCCTGGCTCTCTCTGCTTGCTGTGACACATGGCGTTGCTCCTCCTGGAGCCAGCCTACTGCAGCCTAAAACCTCTCTTCTTGTATACTGTGGGTGGCAGGTGCTGTGTGCCAGAGGCAAGTGACCACAACAGAACTGACCAAATGCGCAACGTTCCCTCAAGGTAGGAAAAGGATAAATAAACTCAGGGTTTTACTTTTGTTCATTCTGGTTAAAACAACTTTATAATTTTAATTTTTTTGTTTTAGGTTATAAGATTTTTTTTTTAAAAATCCCAGTATGAGGCCACATAAAGCGGGCATACTTCCTATTCAGAATTTCTAGGGGTGGCAAGTCACTCTCTTATCAGTAGTTTACCGCCATCCACAGAGAATCAACCACTTTCCAAATGGAAGAAAGCATTCCTTCTTTGTCTTCCACAAGTAGCAGCTACATCCATAAGATCCTCCTATACCATTCCCACAAGCAGTCGTTGCTGATTTTCTGGAACCTGCCTCGTATGCGTCAGACAACATATTTCTGTAACTCAAGGAGTTCCTGTGTGCTGTGAAAAAACAAAAGGAATCCAAAGTGAATCTCCCCCATAATATCACGGGAGACAGATTTGCAGACAGTGCTATGAGGCAAACTAAAATGGGGGCTCAAATGAAGGGGCTGTGGGACCAAAGAGGTTTGGAAAATGAATTTTCACAAGCAGGATAAAGAGTGAATTTACAACTGAAGTGGCACCAGAGCTCAGCTGTGATGGTTAAGTTCACTGTGGGTGAGGAGAGCTAGGAAGCCGCTTCTGCTTATGACAGAGTGAAACAGACAGTTTGCAGCTTATAAAATACTGGTAATTCCATGTAATGAAATCTTCCTGTCTACATTGATATCTTTATTGCCTAATGAGCACGTTTCCTGCAGATATGCAAAAGCGAGTACTCCCTTAGTGGACTACAGACTAAACCACTGGAAAGAAAAATTAGAACCAGACCTTGGTAAGCCTTGGGTGTCAGAATAAGGAATTAGAATTCTCTCTGTATGCCCCAAATGCCAGTTAAGTTTTTTGAATGGAAGAACAAAAGAATAACATGAAAGGCTTTCCCAAGTTGTAATAAATGCCTAAGAGCTTTTAGAAAGAAGTGATTCTCAGTCTTAACATCAGTAAGTTAGTAAGGTACATGCTACTGAACTTTAAAAAAAGTTCTAAGAACTTCCAGTTGCTCACTGTACACCTTTACTATGCCCCCTACTTATTTGGGGGTTTCTCAAAATGTTCCATCATTACTCAGCATCTTCTAGTAGTCTGCTTAATTATCACGTGAGCAGCATGTCAAGATGGCTACTACGAAGAGCACATGAAAAGTCGCCAGCATTCCCGCAGCAAAGAGTGAAAGTAGCAACTTTCCCCTTTTGTCAGTTTTTTTGGAGACAGGGTCTCACTATGTAATTCAGGCTGGCCTTGAACTCATTACACAGTGGCCTTGAATTTATGGTGATCCTCCTGATTCAGCCTCTTGAGTGCTGGGATTACAGGCATGTGCCACCACACTTAGGTATCTCTTGAGAAAACATTAGTAGTGCATAGTATTCAATATCTAACTCAGAGGTAAAAGGGTGAATGCACATTTAATTCATTCAGCAAGGATTAAAAATAATATCCTCTAATCTGTTGTCTCCTTTCCTTCCTGGTCACAAACAAAAGGCAACTAGAGCTCTCCCAAAATGCAGTGAATAAATGGTACCTAATTTTTTTTTTGGTCATCTTTTTGAGTCAGGGTCCTGCTGTGCAGTTCAGGCTGGCCTTGAGCTCACTTTGTAGCCCAGGCTTATCTCAAATTTGCAATAATCCTGCTTCAGCCTCCTTAGTGCTGGGATTACAGGCAAGTGGTGGGATTATAGGCAAGTGCTGGGACTACAGGTATGTGTTACCATACCAGGCCTTGGTATCATAAATGTACATGGAAGGATAACTATTCCCATTTTTCCTTTTCTCTCCAATCAAAAATGTCAACTGGAAGAAAAGTGATAATCTTTTTCCTAAATGGAACAGGTAGATAGAATTACTCAAACTCCAGGGAAAAGGGAGGTAGGAAGGAGAGGAAAGTAAGCCTCCATCTAAACAGGGTTAGGCTTAAAATAAATTCTATAATCCTAGCACGCCAGGCAGCTGAGGCACAAGGGTTGCAAGCTCAAGCATAGCCTTGGCAACTAAGTGACTTAGTGAGACACTATCTCAAAATAAAAAGAAAGGGCTGGGGACAGAACTCAGCCCAAAGGCCCTGTGTTCAATCCCTGAGGCCACAAAATTAATTAATTTTAATTAGTCTTTCAGTTAGTAGTAGAAAAAACTTCCAATTCCCTGGATTTGATTTCTGGCACCAACTTAAAAAGTGAAAAATTTCCTCAAATCCAAAGAACACAGGCTGCTGCTTCCTTTATGCCTAAAGATATATAGAATTTAACAATATTCTGTTGTTAACTGAAGTAGCTACTAGTGTTTTCTTATGACCGGCCCAAATTCTAATTTCCTTTGCAGGCAGAAGTCATGGATGGATTCTCTGCACAGCATAAGATGAGAAGAATAAATGAGAAACAATTATGAACAGTACCAGAATCTCATTTCACTGTAGAGAGGTGAGACTGTATGAAGAATATCTGACAAATTAAGTCATCTCACCAGGGGAAAAGTAGCATTACTTCTCAGTAACTCCATGTGCCTTTATTAAAAACCAACAGCAGCTGCCAAGGAAACTATCCAGCTAAGGGCAAATCTCCAAAGCAAGCGTTCATCCTTCTAATATAAGAAACACCTTTAGCAGGCTAATAGACTAGCCTTAATAAGGTTAAGAATCTGGAGAGGGCAGGGAAGGCTCCTTAATGGACCAGCCAGCCCCAGGTAGGTAGTCATGCCTCCCTGGTTCAAGCACAGCTGAGCGCTACTATGTAAGTCACCCTTTGGAAGCCCTGGGAGTCGTACCTCTACTTAGCCACAAATTCTGTAGTTCTGTTTCTGGCCAGTAAGAGCAGTAAATACTCTAGATGGAGCGGAGTAAAGGCTCCACACCAAGAGGACGGCTTTGACCAGGTCCACAGTAAGCTACAGAACCGCAGTTACAGTTTGAACTAGTTGGCACATGTATTTGTTCATTTCTTTAGTAAAGATAGAGCCATTTAATATAAGGAAGAGTCCTTTAAGACTAGATTTATGCTTGAGGAATTCGAGTACTGTTTTTCTAAGAAGTGGAATCCTGGAGATCTCAGACAAAACTGTTAATCACATTTGAAATATCTGCAGTGTCACAGAATTCAGGAATCTGGGGACGATATCTGCACAGGCAGATTTCACTACACTGAAACTCCCCGAAGATGGGTATAGGCAGAGCTCTGCGTAGTCTTGTCAGCTAATGTAACAAAGGTAGGAGACCAGTACTGGGCAAAGAAAGATCAATCCTGCTCTGAGGGCAGCTTCCCTTTGCTTTTCTGCAAGCGACATGAGATTTAAAGCGACCAGCCGAGGCTGTCAAAGGAAAACTATCAGTTTAAAAGGTGATGGGTGGGGAGGAATCAACTATAGTAAGTAACGTGTAATGAGCATCAGAAGCGTCTGGCGGAGTCGCTCTCCCTCCACTCGGTGCAGGGACGCGAGGTGCACCCGAAGAGCAGGTGGCGACCTCGACTTAGGAAACTAGGAAGGGCTGTTAGAAGGGATTGTTCGGTGGTTTCCGCAGACAGGGCGACAGGGCGACGATCTACTTAAAAAGTATGGAGCAATCAAGGAAAGCAGAGCTCAGTCCTGCGGAAAAGGAGGAACAGAAAAGAAAAACAGGCGTGATCTGCTGTCCGCACGGGAGACAGCAGCAAAAGATCACGAAAAGGCGCTCCCAGCAGCCGAGGCGGCGGGCGCGGGAGGGGCGGCGGGCCGCGGCGGCCGGGGGCGCGGGAACCCGGGGCGCCCGGCGGGCGGGCGCCGCAACCCCGCTCCAGCCCGCGTGCCCTCCCGCCCCACCCGCCCGAGCTGAGTAACCTTCGCGCTGTCCTGCAGCAGCTCTTCTGAGGCAGCGCGGCGGGGAGCTGCGTGCACCTCCGCCCTCCCGGCGCCGGCGCGCCGTCTGTTGGGGGCACGCCTAACGCGTGAGGCGGGGGTGTGCGAGCAAAAAGCGGCGCTGAGGGCTCCCGGAAACCCCGGCCACTCGAGGCCGGCGCGCCCCGTTCGAGGCTCCCTGCTCCGGCCGCGGCGCCTCGGGAGCTGAGCGCTCGCCACGCTCCACCACTCGCGGGCAACCGGAGAGCTACCCGGGCAACCGCGCCGGTGGAGTCCCGGATGTGTTGCCAGGGCCGCAGCGGGGGGGCGGGGCCAGCCCCGGGAGAGGGCGGAGGGAGCAGGGGGCGGGGGGAGGGAGGCTGGCCGGCACCATCGAGACGGCGGCGGCCGGCTTCGGGAGAGAGAGGCGGCCGGCCGGGGCTGAGGACAGCGCTACTTCCGGTCTCCTCACTTCCGGCTTCCCTGCTCTAGGTGGCTGGTTCGGGAGGCCGGGTTGAAAGGTCGCGGGTCCGAGGGGTCCCGCCTGTTGCTCGGAGCGAGCGTGTGACAGCTGTCGTTGCTCCCCGCCCCTAGGCTCCGAGGTGCGTGGGGGAGAAGAAAGAAAAAGTCTGGCTTGCATTTCCGCTCACTGCTCGCCGGGGCGGGGCGATTCCAGAGAGCGGCGGCAGGGCTCACCCTCGGTTCGGGAGCTGCCGGGTCCCCGCGGACAGGTGAGGGCGGAGCGGCCCGCAGCGGGGCGGCTGGGCTGCGGTGGTGGGGCGGGCGCGTCGCCTGTGCCTCGCAGCTCCGGACCTGCTGAACTCTCCGTCCCGGGGTGTGCCAGGTCTGCCCCAGGATTCGGCCTGCGGTTTCCGCCCCTGCATTCCTCCTGGCTCTCGAGGGTGCCCCAGAAACTGCCGAGAAAAGGGACTGGACCGGCCCTTCGGGGCGGCACCCCCGGCTTTGCATGGAGTCGGTCGGAAGAGGCTGCTGGGTCCAGAAACGTGACCAAGTGTCGGAACCTGCCACCTTCGGGTTTGGGTGCAGCCCTCCTGTCGCTCCTCGCTGCGTCCCCCCACTTCCTCTCTCCCGCTGCGAGGGGCGGGAGGCGTGATCGGCCCTCCGAGGTGTTGCTCCCGCGGTGGAGCCGGAGGAGCCTTGCCCAGGAAATGTCCCGAGCCTGGCTGCCTGTGAGGACGTCCAAGGAACGCTGGAGTTTGTAGCTGTGAGTTGTGGTTCGCAACTCTTTGCCAGGTTACTACTGCCTACGTGTCTAGGAAAGGGAGAGAGTTGGGCGTTTTTAGCAAACAGTTTTCAGACGCTACATTTTCCCCTTTTATTACTGCTTCCTTTACTTTGTTTTCATCTTCCTCTTGAACCTCTTGGTCTTAAAAAATTTGCGTCTTCCTCTTCCCGTAGATCGTGTTGCCACCCTGTTTAGGAATCCTGTCCTGTGCCCTCCACTATTTTCTTCTAGTTTAAAGCATGTTTACTCAGCTCATGTTTGATAAGGAAAAAAGGGAAGAATTGCAGTTTTCTTCTACGTGTTCTGTCACCTGCAAGGGTGTGTGCGCGTTTGCCGTGTAACTACGTTGACTTAGAAAGGTGCACCCGATTGGCTACAGGGTCCAGCACCCTCTGTTCGAGGCTGCAGGCATTAGCCATTTCCTTACTGCTCAAAGGGAGTGCATTGTAGGCTACGTATACTTTTCTTCGTTTGACCTGTTTTTTTGTTTGTTTGGTTTTGTTTTCCTTGCCCAATATGATCAAACCGCCCCCCCCCGTAATACTTCGTATTTGGGGAAACAGAACATATTTTTAATCTTACTTTATTTCGGGATTAAAATATCTACTTCAGTTATGTGATTCCTTTTCAGATTGATAAATTATTTTTCCTTGGGTTATATTTGCCTTAATCCTGGGCTGTGAGTTGAGGTATAAGGTCTAAGTCTCATCTCAGTGATTTTTAAAGGTCTTCATTCTCGCCCCTGAAATTATATGCAGCTTTTGAGTGCATTTTTTTCTCAAAGGAGAATGACCTTTTTGATTTTTTTAAAAAGTCACATTATTAAAAGAGATGTACAGTGTCCAAGTAGATTAAAAACTGCTTCTTAGTGCCTAGTTGAAGTTCATGAAAATTTTTTTGGGTGGAGGGGGGAGCAGTTCTTTTTGCAAAAGTGGCTTGTTTGGGCACCAGGAACAGTAGAGTGCAAGGATTATAACTTGCTGTTGAAATCTTTAACTTCAATACTTGAGTATTTCTAAATTCCTTCCTAGACATGCTGAAGGAAGTGACAGTGTCAGCTCACTTAGTTTGTGATTTGTGGTTTTGAGGTTTCTTTTTAGGGTTGTCTGTTTGTGGCCAGTGCTCTGGCAATCGTGAAGGTTTGTAAAATGAGGTGTATGTCATTACTTAATACATAATAAGTGTCACCAATCCACTAGGTACAGCTCAGAATAGAAAATTTAAGTTCTGGCTGTACTTGACTTTCATTTTTTTGTTTTTCAATTGAACCATCTATTTTGGTTTTGTTAGAAATCGCAAGTAAGAACATCAGTGGTATGATCCTTAAGCTTTATTTCAACATTCCCTTTCTCCGTTCTGTATTAAATATTTTAATGGTTACTTCTTTCTTGTAAATAAGAGTCTTAAATTGTTATTATTTTTTAATGTATCTAGTACAGGGTCTTACTACACAGATAGGACTCATAGTAATCCTCTTGTTTTCAGCCTTCCAAGCTCAGGGATTACAGGTGTATGCCACCATGGCGAGTCTCATTCACGTCTCAATGTGCCCCAGGGGTGGAGCTGGCATGGGACAGCCCTTCCTGGCCCAGCACGGCGGGCTACACACAGGTGATCAAGTCCCTGGTCTGTCGCTGTGCCTGCCTAAGCAGGCCTTTTAGTCTGTTGAGCTATCTGGCCGGCCCCGTAAAAGTCTTTTCAAGCTTGTAGGTCACATACTTGCTTGCTGATTTTGTTGTACAGTGTTTGTTATTTATTTGAAGGCTGACGTTCTAAAGATTTGAAGGTTTTGTGCAATTTTAGAACATGAAGAGATCTGTACAGCCCATCATAACGTTTCTGAAGTAACCAGGTTTTTTTCTGCTCACAAAGTAATTTCCGCTCTGTTGTAACATCCTTTTTTAGGGAAGTATTTAACATAATTTTGTAAAGAATAAGTTCTGCTAGATTTTTTTTAAATTCTGAAGTCAAATTTTATTTAGCACCTTAATGACGTTTCTTTATTTTGCATACTCTTTGCTCATACTTTCATGAATATCCCATCTGACAGTCCTGGAAACCTTAGGTATTGACCAGCACCCACAGCTTTATAGATGAAGGCTGAAATTTAGTAACTAACTGAAGTTAAAATAATATGCTCATACTTACCCTGGTGGAACTAGGATTTGATCCCAGGTGTTTGTCTCTGGCTTATTGTATGCAGCTTTTATTGGACATTTTCTGGTTGCCAGGACAGAATTTCTGACATGCACGGGTTAAGGGAGGAGAAGTTGACTGGGCATCACTGTTTTGCTGAGTTCAGTCCATGGGCAGTGGCTCCCAGGCTGAAACATCATGGTGAAAGCACACAGGGTAGAGGAAGACTGCTTCTGCTGTGGTGGTGAGGAAGCAGCGGGGGAAGGGCTGAGCCAGGGTTAGAATTCCCTTCCAGATCCTGTCCCTCAACCCGAGATTGCCCTCAACACATCTCTGCACTCCGCCGTTGATGAACAGGGCGTCCCCATGAGCCTGTCACCTTCCCAAAGTACCACCTCTGAACTCAAGATGGTTTGGAGACATCTTAGGGGTTTTTTTTTTTTTTTTGGTTCCTCGAATGCCTTCAGGGCACTTTTGGCCAGCTGGAGAGGTGGGAGGTTTGAACTCCAGCAACCTGAGGCTGACAGCTTTGTGGAAGCAGCCACTTAAAGGCCTGAGCTAGGGCCAGGCCCCCCGGTTTGGAGATATCTTAGATACAAACCATAGCGCAGCTTCTGTTGTACTCCATTTTTTTCCTTAGTAGGCAGTAAATATTTTCTATGAGACATTAGGTGAAAGTCTCCTGTGTTATTTTTCAGTGGATGAACATCTAGTTAAATGTCATACTGAAAACTATGATAAGAAGAAGAAAATTTGGAGGTCCTCTACAGCCTGCAGTAGCAGTAATTAAGGTTTTTTTCTTATGGAGATGAAGATTGTGTGTGTGTGTGTGTGTGTGTGTGTGTGATATGAGTGGCAAATATGAACATAAATGTTAGAAGAATAATCTTGGCATAGGAATCTGGAAGCATAACTGTCAGAATGATGGGGTGGAAGAAGTAAATTTAACAGGGAACTTAAGGTAAGGTAGCTATGGGTAAAAGCTCAGGATTTGTCAGATTAGAAGATGAGTTGTTCCACATACTGTGGAAGATAATGACAGAAATCTTACTAAAAAGCTTTTGCACAGCAAAAGAACCTGCAGAGTGAAGAGACAACTCACAGCATGGGCAAAATTTTTGCCAGCTCTCAGACAAAGGACTGATACCTAGAATATATAAAGAACTTAAAAAAAAAAAATCTCCCAAATTTGAAGACCCAGTCTAAAAATGAACATCTGAAATGAATACACACTTCTCAGAAGAAGTAATAGAAAAGGCAAATCAGTATATGAAAAAATGGTCAACATTGTATTTCAGAGGTGTAAATTAAAACAGTGCTGAGATTCCATCTTTCAGGAAGAATGGCTGTTACCAAGGAAAGCAATCAATAACAAGTGCTGGAGGGGCTGTGGGGGAAGAGGAACTCTTCTCCACTGTTGGTAGGAGTGTAGATTGGTGCAACCATTGAAATCAGTGAAGAGATTCCTCAAAAAAATTAAAATTAGAGATTCTGTGTGACCCACCCATTTCCCTTCTTGGTATCTTCCTGAAAGAATTGGAAGCATCAGACCACATCAGTATATGCATACTCATGTTTCTAACACCCTAGTTTGTAGTTTGTAGTAGCTAAATCTTGGAAACAGCTCAAACGGCCATCAACCAATACATGAATAAAGATATGTTTTATAAAACTGTGATGGAGTACTACTGAGCCATAAAGAAGGATAAACTTGAGACATTTCTAGGTACATTGACGTACCTTTTTTTTGGCAGTACTGGGGATTGAACTCAGGACCCTGTGCTTGCCAGGCAAGCACTTATTCTACTGAGGTATCTCCCCGGCCCTGGATATACCTTGAGACCATATCTTTAAGTGAAATAAATCAGGCACATGTGTAAATATTGAATTATTTCTCTGGTGTGAGAAACCAAAAGTGTAAGTAAGGACCAAATTGGATTGTAGATGTCGTGAAATAGGAAAGAAAATGTTCAAATGAGAAAGAGAATGAGGTAGGGGGGAGGAGGAAGGAAGGTTGGAAAAGAGAAAAATAAAAGGATGAAATGGAAACAGCTTTGTAAATGAGGGGAAGTGTTGAAGGGAGGGTAGGGGAAGGGGGAAAAAGAATCAAGTTAAATCATGTACAGGAACACATTCCCTATGATGAATGTATGCCTCAAATATACCAATAAACATTTTTTTAAAAAACCCAAAAGGATCTGGAAGTTATCTCGGTATTCCTGATTTCTACTAGCATTAGGCAGTTCTGATAGCCACTTAGTAGCTCTTATAGATTCTCAGCTGTACAGTATTCTCTCTTCTGCTCTCTCTGGCTCTCTGTGCACTTTTCTCTTTCCTTTATTTCTTTTC